CCGTAACTTTCGGGTTAGCTGAGTTGCCGCCTCCTGAGGCGGCCTCTGCAGCGTGTCAAGCCGTGTACGTGGGGACAAAATGAGCTTCGGCTTATTTGAGAGGTCGCTCTATTTGGCAAAACGCCCTGCTTTGGCTGCATCACGTAATGGTGCACCTTGGAGAGCTACAGAGCTACCTGTAAAGTGCGGAGGTGTTTCGTACTGCCACCTGTGCAAAAGGTGAATAGGAAAGCTTCCCATTTTCTAACCTGTGAATGCCTGTAGTTACCTGTGGTGCTGGTAAAACCGGTCAGAAGCTCAGGCAGGCTTTTGCAAAGGAAGAGGCTGGGCCAGGTCCTCTGACAGCAAAGCACAGCTCTGTTAGTGTCCGGGAGTTTGTCTTGTACTTCTTGGTCCTTTTTGTGGCTTTATAGCGTGCGAAGCAACTAATGTGTCAAAAAAGTGAATAACTGGGGTTCAAATATGAGTGTGTTCCTCAAGCTAGCAAGTGGTAGTGCAAAGTCTTATCGGTGAGCGTTTTGTAGGTGGCACATCCTACAGTGTATGGGAGAACTTGTAAACCTGCCTGAAGTCCTTCTCGCTTTGCTGATGAAGCCTTTTAGAAACTTCTTTGAAAAAACCCTGGATCAATCTGAGAGAGAGGGCTGCTGACGGAACTGTAGTTTTCCAGCCACGGTATTATGGCTTCATAGTGGGAGGATGTGAATATGTGAGTATATGTAGATTCCGTGATACTGCATGCAGTTGTTAGAAAACAATTTGTCTTTTTAATAGTAGTTCTTACTACAGGATTTTTATGTCCTATTAAAAGCATCCCAAAGCATAATTTGTTGACCCCTAAACATTTGTTTAGCATTATCTAGAATATAATGTATGTTGGAAAATATATGAAGTACTGTAAGTAATATTCTGTTCTGAAATAGGTTGCAAGCTGTTGTGCATAGTAAAGAAGATCGTAAAACAAAACCTTAGTACCTACATTGGTAATGAAGCAGAAGGTTAATTTTTGGATCTATTAACCTTCGTTCACTAACCTTGACATAGTTGTGTTAGCCTACAGCAGAGAACCTGTGTGACGTTATTGGCAGTTGTCTGAAATTCTCATCTGCTGCCACGCAGCTTTTGTACTTACTCGTTATGTCAGGGCTTAAATTCTAAGCATCTTTAGGCAAGTGTTAAGAGATGCAAGGCTTAAGGGTAAGCAGTAGTTCCATGTAGGAGGTGCAAGTCGAAGCAGGCTATATTGCCTCTCAGAATTTCTATTCCCTGAATAATCAGGTTTACTGTTTGGAAAATAGTACTTTGTCGGGGGAGAAATTATGAATTTGTCTGGGTTTGCTAAGGCATTGTGCTTTTGAAGTACCTCTTTATTGTTGGAGGCACTGTTGGTTTAATTTTCAATGTCTTTGTAATGCCAGCATTGGTAGGAAACCACAAGGCAGGAACATCAGGTGACAGGGACCTGTCCTCCCTTCCGGGTTGGGTATCGCATTACAAAATAAATAAGTATTTGAGCAATTAAACATAGGAAGCTTCACTTCTTTTGTGTCTAACTGTGTGGGCTAGCTCACAGTCAAGGTAATACTAAGTGATGGAATTGGTTTGGATTTTTTTTTTCTTTTTTGTGCTTACCATCTTTTTATTGCGTGAGTTGTAGAATTGTAGTATTTGAATTTAACCTACCTGTGTCCTGTTCAGTTAAGCTTGGGAAGAGATTCGGAAGTTAGTAATGAGGACTTTTTCACATAAGCCTAATTTCTTTGGGAACCAGGGCGAAAAACAAAGCCTACACTGGCATTGTAAAAAGTCACTGTAGCTCATTACAACCAATTATATAACCAATGTCTTGGGAATTCAGAGATTAAAACCACTGTCACAGAACGTGAATGTCTGTGTTCCTTTGGAGTTACAATTGCCATTTTGTTATAATATTTGAGCATTGTCATTTACTGAAAAAACTCAGTATTTTGCTAGTACAATTCTCATGGACTTTGTAGGTTTTTTGCTTTCAACATTGACTCAAAGAGGGACCGCTCATTAGTTTTATGTTCTTGAAAGGAACAGCAACCAATTTGAAGGCTAAAGCTAAAGGAAGTCTTTAGCTGAGGAGAGACAGTGAAGAACAGGGGAAGGGAAAGACTGTTTGTGGGCAGGGAATTAAAGCTAAATCACCTTTAATGTAGATGCAATAGAGAGACACAACTGAAATATCCGAAATAGAGATGCTCCTAATTCGAGAAAGCGATTAAGAGAAACTTTAGAGACGATTTCTGATGAAGACTTGAGTTTAGTTTATCTTATTTGTCTCTGAATTGTCATAACATGAATAATCAAATGCTAGGTGCAGTAGCACATCCTTGCTCTGGGTTATGTAGTATCGGAAAGGATTCCAGAACTGTTCAGGTGCATCAGGAATAATAAGGATCACTCACGTGCCCTAGTTTCTGGTCTCAAATTCTCATGTCCTGGGAGAAGTGGTTGGGTTTTGACATGGGTTGCTTTGGGTTTTTTTGGTTGGTGGGGGTTTTTTTGTGTGTTTGTGTGTTTTCTTTTTTTTTCTGCTTTTTCCCCCTGTAGCATAAGGGTAGGTTTACTTTATGAATGTACAACTTCAAAAGATACAGTTAAAGTTAATAGCTGTTTCAAGTAAGTAACTGCAGCCACTCGTTATGTGCAGTAATACCTACTTAAACAAAATATTTGATGTTTTATTTTTAATTTTTTTTTAAGCAATACCCAGTTTTTCATTCTGTATTCCTTAGACTGTAATTTAAATACATAAACCAGAAGCCAGATCGTTTAAATGACTCGATAGCCACTGTATTTTCTTGTTTGCAACAATATAAACAAAGTATTTGGTTTCTTTTTAACTTTTGCAACAGAAAATAAAATTACCCAAGAAAACAGCCAGACGGTACCCAGCATATGAGCTCTATCTCTATGGCGAAGGGAACTACGCTGAAGAAAACAAAAATCTCCTGTTGACAGGAATTCCAGTTCTCTTTCTTCCTGGGAACGCTGGTAGTTACAGGCAAGGTGAGCGTTTAGCTAAGTTTCAGGTATGTTACAAAGAGCTCTCATATTTGTGCATTGGTTAGTGGTAAGAAGTTTTCTGTTTGAAATAATATCAACAAGAGTCATAATGATTGATGGTATTATGATGTAGATATCCTTGTTAGTCCATGGTTAATTCCAAAGCAGACAAAATACGTTACTTTTGTTTGAAATCAGTTGAACAGTTGAGCTATGATATTTTTCTGGAGTGAGACTTCTAACTTTTGAAAGCCAGGAACAGTACAGTTTATGCTGTACTGTGGCAGCACTGCACTCTTGCTGTATTTTTGATTGCAAACATCTAGTTGGTTTTGATTTGTACAGTGTTTAGTGGAGTTTTACCAAATAAAACAAGACTTGAATTTGATTAGAAGAAACTGAACAAGCTACCATTGGTGATGTGAAGTAATTACATGCTATAGAAATGAGCATCATCTTGTGGCTTGCTCTGCATTTTCATTATTTCCTGCTCCTTTATGTAGCGGTGTTTTTTCCTTAGCATCATCTTCCCACTTTACACATAGCCTTCTTTTGTTTTCCAGGTTATTCACTCTTACGCTTCTAGACTCCAAATGAAAAGAAGTAATAGTTCTAAAGCATTTTTATTTTTCACTGTAAATACTGAAGCTAGTGGTTTGATGAACATGAAGTATTGAGTTTAAGTGTTTATTCAAGTATCCAGTGTTCCGTCCAGGCTGGGTTTGTCAGACCATTTTTTTTGTTCTTTAAAATGTGCTTTGAAACAGTTAGTAACACTCTCATGATGTTAGCAAAATTGATGTGTTTGTATAGGGAAAACCACTGCAATCTAAACTCTGATGTCTTACTGTGATAATTTTTCCTTATATTTGCACTAAACGTGATAATTAAATTATCTGATTTCAGAGAAGCTTTACATAGTTATTTTCTTTGAGAACATGCTCGCTTAGCTTATAACAAAGTAAAATATTTTACCAACTCCTACTTACAGAAAACCCATACAGACTTGCAGGCACAATAGCATCCAAAGATTATGAACATAATGATTATGAGAGATGCCATATGGACTTGTGTAAATTGTGCATAAAGTTTTGCAGATCTGTGAATTAATGCTGCCTCTAAAACCAGTACATCACTATGCAGGAAAGAGAATGGTACTTTCAGGGCATGTTAGGAGCTAATGTCCAGTCTAAACCGCCCCTGGTGCAGCTTGAGGCTTTTGCCTCTCATCCTGTCCCTTGTTACTTGGGAGAAGAGACCTATACCCACCTCACTTACAACCTCTTTCAGGAGGCTTTGGTGTGTTACAGGCGCTTCTGAAACACGTTAATTCATCCTCTTTCATGGGCACTAAAATGAACCTTTTAAAACTTAGAAAATTCAGACTTTGAGTAAAAGACAGTGGTCAGGTTTAGCGATTGGGAATGAACCTGAGATTGGGAGAATTGAGATTGTGAGTTGTATTTTGGGATCTGTCACACACTTGCCTTGTGATCTTTGGCGATGTTCTTGTTCATTTTACCATGACCTCCGAAATACAAAGTTGTGATAAGATATTGATCTTTTAAATGTTATCATTTTTTCAAACCATTTTGAAGGTGTTCTTATTGCTTTAGATGGAGTTTGTGAAATAATTGACTAGAAATTAGATTTATTATTTCCATCATGCTGATAATATCAGTTTGAACATGGGAAGTATTTCGTAAATATTGTTTTCCCATTTCATGTGCTTCACTGAAATTTGGTATGTTAATTTCTGTAGCAAACTTTCCTGACTGCAGGCTGCAGATCTCAAACTGTTGCGCTCTAGAATCTTGCTTCTGTGTGCTGCATTTGGGCAGACCTTTCTGGCCATCACTGGTTATTTTATATACTCACTTTT